TTTGAGCTTGAGGCTATATCAATAGAACTTCCCAAAACAGAAAATCGAGAAGGAAGAAAAAATAAAACAAAAACACAGAACAGAATTTCCAAGCACTGTGGGATAAAACCGAAAGGTGCAACATATGGAAATACCAGAAAGAAAGCAAAGAGAAATAAGAACAGAAGCAATAATTGAAGCAATAACTGGGAATTTCCCACAAGTTAATGTCAGACACCAAACCACAGATCCAGGAAACTCAGAGAACACTCAACAGGATTAAAAAAAAAAGAAAGAAAGAAAGAAAAGAAAAACCAACATAGGAATACCATATTCAAACTAAAGAAAATCAAAGACAAAAAAATCTTGAAAGAAGTCATAGTAATAAAATATGGCCTATATTACCTATAGAAGAGCAAAGATAAGAATTACATTTAACTCAGAAATTATGTAAGCAAGAAGAGAGTGGGGTGAAATATTTAAAGTGTTGAGGAAAAAAACCCCACCAACTTAGAATTCTGTACATTAATATCCTTCGAAAGTGAAGGAGAATTAAAGATTTCTCAGACAAACAACAACTGTGAGAATTTGCTGCTGATAGATCTTCTTTGAAAGAAATATATTTTTAAAAAGTTCTTCAAAGAGAAGAAATGATAGTAGGAACATGGAACCACATAAAGAAAGGAAGAGCATTAGAAAAGGAATGAGTGAGAATAAATTAAAAACTTCTATTTTCTTATTCTTAATTAATCTAACAGATAAAATTTGTTCATGGTAATAATATCAACAATGTATTCAACTATAAATCTGAAAGAATCAACAAAAACCTCCAAGATCTAATCAGTATAGCAAGGTTTCAAGATACAATGTTAATATACAAAAGTCAATCACTTTTACATATACTAGCAGTGAATAAGTGGAATTTAAAAAAAGAAAAAGAGGACAGTAATAAACTCGTCTACAAAACAAAAACAGACTCACAGACATAGTAAACAGTCTTATGGTTACTGGGGAAAAGGTGGTAAGGGATCAATCTGGGAGTTTGAGATTTGCAAATGGTAAGCACTATATATAAAAATAGATAAAAAACCAAATTTCTTTTGTATAGCATAGGGGACTATATTCAGTATCTTATAATAACCTTTAATGAAAAAGAATATTAAAATGAATGTATGTAAATATATGCATGACTGGGACATTATGCTGTATACCAGAAATTGACACATTGTAACTGACTATACTTCGATTAAAAAAAATACCATTTGCATTAACACCTAAAAAAGGATTATTTACCTATAAATCTGACAAAATATATACAAGATCTATACGAAGAAGTCTACAAAATTCTGATGAAAGGAATAAAGAACTAAAAAAATGGAGAGATATTCTATGTTCATGAACAGGAAAATGCAATACTGTTAAGATGTCAGTTCTTCCCAACTTCATCGATAGATTCAGTGCAATGCCAAACCAAATCCCAGTAAGTTATTTCACGGATATTGATAAACTGATTCTGCAGTATATATGGAGAGGCAAAAAGCCTATTACAGCAACACAATATTGAAAGAGGAGAACAAAGCCAGAGAACTGACCTACTCAACAACAAGACTTATTATAAAGTTGCAGTAATCAACACAGTGTGATACTGGTGAAAGAGTAAACAAATCATTTAAACATAATGGAGAGCCCATAGAAATATAGTCAATGAATCTTTGACAAAGGAGCAAAGACCTTAGGTTTGACAATACATTTTTAGACATGATGCCATAGGCAAAATCTACAAAAGAAATAACTGATAAGTTGGACTTATTTTTAAACAATTTTGCTCAGTGAATGATACTGTCAAGAGAATAAGAAGAAAAGCTACTGTCTGAGATAAAATATTTATAAAATACGTATCTGATAAAGGACTTGTACCCAAAATACACAAAGATCTCTTAAAAATCAATAAGGAAACAAATAATCTGATTAAAAACTGGGCAAAAGACCTGACCAGAACACCTCACCAAAGAAAGTGGCATGGCAAATAAGCATGTGGAAATATGTTCAACATTATATGTCATTAATAAATTGAAAATTAAAATAATAATAAGATAGCATAGCTCTATACATATTAGAATGTCCAAAATGCAAAACACTGACAACACAAAATGCTGGTAAAGACGTGAAGCACCAGGAACTCTCAATTATTAGTGGTGGGAATGCAAAATGGTGAAGCCATTTTGGAAGAGAGTTTGGCAGGCTCTTTAAATATATCCTTACCTACGGTCCAGCAATCATGTTCCTTCATTTTGGCAAATCCCTAAAGGGTTGAGAATTAATATTTACACAAAAACCTGCACATGAATGTTTATGGGTTTTTAATGCATAATTGCCAAAACTTGAAAGTAACCAAGTTGTTCCTCAGTAGGTATGGCTAAAGGAACAGTGGTATATCCAGACAATGAACTATTTATTATTCAGTGCTAAAAAGATATGAGCTACAAACCATGAAAAGACATAAAGAGATTTTGATATTGAAGAGGCTATATAAATTTGAAACAGGTAGTATATGGGAAATCTCTGTACCTTCTACTCAATTTTACTATGAATCTAAAACAGCTCAAAAAATAAAGCCTATTTTTTAAAGGGAATTAAAATCGTACACTAGAAAATATCTAATACAAAAGAAGGCAAAAATGGATAAATAGAGAAACACAAAAGACTTAAGACATATGGAAAACAAACAGCAAAATGGCAGATGTAAATCTCACACTATCAATAATTATAGTAGGTATATAAATGGATTAAATAATTAAAAGGCAGAGATTGGCAAATGGATTACAACACATCATCCAACTATATACTGTCTATAAGAGACATACTTCAGATTCAAAGACACAAATTGTTTGAAAGTAAAGCAATAGAAAAACATAGACCATGAACATAGTAACCAAAAGAAAACTGGAATGACTACATTAATAGTAGAAAAACAACTTTAAAACAAAAATTGTTACTAGAGACAAAGAAGAACATTATATAATGACAAATGAGAAACTCCATCAAGAAGAGGCAACAATTATAAACACATATACGCCTCATATCAGAGTCCCCAAATACATGAAGCTAGAGCTGACAGAATTGAAAAGAAAAATAGACAATTCAACAATAACAGTCAGAAACTTCAATAGTATACTTTCTAAAGGGGATAGAACTAGATAAAAGATCCACAAGGACATAGGAGACTTGAACAATACTCTAAGCCAACAGAGATCTGTGGAACGCTCTGTAGAACCCAATACCACCAGAATACACATTCTTCTGAAGTGAACCTGGAACATTCTTCAAGACAGACCACATGTTAAGACATAAAACAAGTCAAACAAAGTATGTCTTCTGACCACAATAAAATAAAATTATGTTATAATCCCCCAAATTGGAAAATTCACAAATAAGGAAGGTTGTTTTAAAAATAAATTGAATTTTTCAGTTTAAAAATCTAACTGGGTATCTATTGCTATGTAGGATGGGGTAAGAAAGGAATAATTAGAAGGTAAGCAATTAGTCAGATTTCAATTGAAAGGGGTAAAATATTGGAACACTTGGAAGAATCTTCTCTTCATATAGTAAATTTATTTTCATTCTCCAAACCTCAATTCAAATATAACTTTGTCTGAAAAGCCTTCCTTGACTCCACCAATGATGGTAATAATAATGTTAATAATGGTAATAAAAGCTGACATTTTTATAGCCTTTGCTATATAACAAGTATCATTCCAAACACTTTAAATATATTTCAATATTTAATCCTCCCAGCAACACTAGGAAATAGATAGTATTATTATTACCATTTTACACAAGAGGGTAAATAACTTGGAGAGGTTACATAACTAAAAAGTGACAGAGTTGGGATTCAAACATAATGACTCTGAAATCCATGTTCTGAAGCATGACCAACTGAAGTTAGATGTTCCTTATCAAGACTCTCATGGAATCCATGTATACTTCAGTCATTCCATGGATCACAGTATATTGAAAATGCTTACTAGATTTTCTTGTTCCACTAATGATACATTCAATAAACAATTATTCATTTAATAAGCCACTATTGAGTACATTCTTTGTGCCAGAAAATATGCCTGTTACTCAAAATAAAATCACATATGTCATATTTCATCTGTCAAAGAGTTTTAGTCTCAAGCAGAGTTCAGCACACTATATAGTTCACAGGCCAAATTCAGCCGGCCACCTGTTTTTATAAATAGATTTTTGTTGAACCACAGCTCATCGGTTTATGCATTATTTGTAGCTTCTTTCATGTTACAACATCAGAGTGCAGTAGTCATTACAGAGACCATTTGGCAGGCAAAGTCTAAAATATTTACTATCTGCTCCTTTTCAGAAAAAGTCTGCCAACCCTGGTCTAAAGAATAAGACAAATAACAAAATCATCAATTACTACCCTATAAAGTGCATGCTATGGTGCCCAAGATACTATGGGAACATAAAAGAGAGAGATCTAGATTAGATTAGAGGGTCAGCAAAAGTTTTCCAGGAGACATGATATTTGAGCTAATTTTTGAAGGCTGAGTGGAGTTAATAGTCAAAGAAGATGAGCCAGACCTATCAGTAAGACCAGGTCATCAAGTTTAGCAATGATCCAAGGAGGCAGAATACTGGCAATAGGAATTAAGAGAGTAAATATGTTTAAGAAATATTAATTAGTTCAATATAACTTATGAAAATATACCTTTAAGTTCTTATTTCCTGCCATCTAGCACAGCTAATGGTGCATATAGTCGGAACTCACTAAATATTTGTTAACAAAAATATTAAGTCCTAAATAAATGTTTACTAAAATGGGGAGAAAATAATTGCCTTCTATTAGTCCTTAAAATCATTTAACTATAAGAATTTTGGTTTTTTCACCCACTGCCCTAGAGTTAAAGAAAAAAACTTTCCCATTGTTTTCAGTTGTATAGATGTATGTAACATTTAACAATACAGTTTTACAAATGAGAAATGGCTGCAATATGCTGTACCTGGAAAATTCATAGGCAGTTCAAATGGTTGTGGAGACTCACAACCTTCAACATGCTCACACATTTCAGCTATGATCTTCTTAATTTTGAGGCCAGTAATTTTAATCACTTCTCCTGTTGACAAACAGCATTCATTTCCAAACATTTCATAAATAGAACCTGAAAAAAAGAAGAGAAAAAAAAAGCTTTTAAAAAAGAATTCAATAATGAAGAACAAAGTAGGTATCAAAAGGCTCATATGAAATGTTTTTATTCAGTTCCTCTCTTAGCTGCCTACTAAACAAGAATTTAATCAAGCTTGGCAAAATGTACAGCGTGTACCAAGAAAAATATTAGATTTTCACTTCATCCACTGGGCAAAGTGTAAACAATCTTACTTTTGTTTTTATTGTAAATTGAATTTATGGTTTCCTCAGCACCTTTAGTTCATCTTTCCAAGGTCAAGCTACAGCCAAGTCTTCCCCAACCGGGATTTATGGTCTGTTTTTGCTGGGTCACAGAATAAGCTTACATGAGTCAACAATGATCTAAGTAAGTACGGCAAACAAGGTTGTAATACAATCCAACATCCAAAGACAGAGGGATTGCACACTGGGGCTTCATATTAAGAGCATTTATAAGATCTGGTTCTCTTCATCATCGTGAATATAACTTTTTGTCCATTTAATCTCTTGTTTTGACAAGCTGGAAACAACTCTCAATATCTTTAAGGCAATAGGGGGCAGACCAATCCAGACAAACTGAAAAGCTTCATTTTGGTTCAGAATTTCAGTCTCCTTTCTAATAAACCTTTTATCATAGATGCTAAAGCTAGATTTTTCATCCATGTATTTTCCTTTTATATCTCTTGACGGAAGAACAGTGAGCAGTGAAATAACTGGATGATGAGCAACAGGAAAGAGGAGAAGCAAAAGCTCTGGATAATCTACCTCCGGTAAAAAGGGAACAATCCTCAAATTGCACCTCTGGCATATTACCGCTCTACAATGGAGCAGTAAACTAAAGGCTGTTGTAAATAAACACTGCAAAACTGTGGAGTTTGAAACGTCATTTTTTCCTTACCCCAATATGATTTATATCCTCTTTACCACCTTAAAGTGTGAACAGTATGAGCACAAGATTTTAGGTTGGTTGGTTGTTTTTTCTGAAATTTCCTCTGCTGAACCTCCTCCTCATAGGATCCTGCCTGATATATAGCAGGCACCGAAAATATTTTTTATAGTATTAATGGTTATAAAAATTATTAAGCCTGGCATCCAATCTAGCTTTAAACAACTCTGTGATTATATTAGAGTCTCATCAGGGAGCAGGAGGGGTACATGCAAATTAGAACACTTTGAGGAAGTTTTAACAAAGGGGCAATTTGCACACAGACACAGACAGTTCTAGGCAGCACAAGAAAACGTAGATGTCCTGATCTCACTCTTTCTCCACTGGATAATTTGCCAGGGCACTCCAATGCCCAAACCCAGCCAGAAGCCAGAGGACCAGGGAGCTGCTGATCCTCCACAGAAGTCAGCCTCCCAGGCAAAAAGTGGAAGTGGAAATCTAGCACACAAACCTTACTGTCCATTATTTAATGAGGGCTATTTTTGCAGGCATGCTTGTATATCTGCTCCTCATATACATCTACAACTCCCTCCTTTTCTCATATTATTCCTGTAGCTACATGTGTTCATACTTTCATTAATTCCAGTACATTGTGTTGTCAGCCATCTCAAATCCCTTATGGAACAAACTGGGATATTAAAAATAATAATAAATCCACAGTGACATTTTCTTCCAGTGAACTCAGAATAGTTATTTTCTATGCTCCTCATCTGGCAATTAATCACATACTAACATTTTACACCTTCAGTATTATCTCATTCTGTACTTAATTTTCTATGACTTTAGTTTTTATTACTCCCAATTCAATTTTAAGCTTCATGGGAAAAAAAAAACCCATTACATTACATTCTTGCATAACTACCAAATCATCAACCTCCCTTCCTCATTCATTTCCCAAACTTCAATGAACATCTACTATGTGTCAGGCACTGTAACTGGCAGTAGGTATCAGAGATAAAATGCATGTCTTCCCCGACAGAAACACTGTTCCGAAGACAACAGAAAGTCAACAGACAATTGCAACAGAATATGAGAAAGTTATAATATGGGAAATACAGGGCATTGTAGGGTAAGTTGGAGGCATTTAATTAAGCAATTAGATAGGAAAGAGATTAGGGAAAGGTTTGTGGAGGAGATGATAGCTGAGCCAATCTTTAAAGGAAGCATCACAAGATGTTAGGACAAGAAAAGGAAAGAATATTTGACAAGGCAGTGAGATGTGAAAGAGCCTGATACATTCTGGAAACATCACATAATTTGCTGTCTCAAATATAAAGTAAAAAGGGGGAACTGGTAAGAAAGAAGACTAGAGAAGTAGAGGGAGTCTAGATCATGTAGTGTCTTTATAAAATCACCAGTAAACAGAAAAGCCAATCGAAGAAGTATGAAGCATCCTCAGAGACAGGGCATTTAAATTGTCAGTTATCAGGGTCCAGGAACTAATACCAATTTAATGAGAAGTCGTATGTACCTAGGTGCTTGCTATCCAAAGTGTGGTCTACTGCATCACCTGGGAGCTTGTTAGGATCTTGCCCAGACCCTAGACCTGCTGAATCAGAACCTGCATTTTTAACAAGTTCCCCAGATGATTCATAAGTACATTAAGGTTTGGAAAGCACTGGTCTAGGCAACAAATGTATAATGGAAAAAAGTCTCTGTTTCGGAGATTGTTTCAAAACTCACCAGAGAAGAAAGGGCATGTCATGAAGAGGAAGCACTCAGTATCACTGAAGTAGAGGATGTTGTAAGTAGGGAAAGGGAAGGATTTTAGAGAGCAAAATGACATGTTAAGATTTTACCAGAGTCACATTTCAACTGAAGTCTGTTTAGCTTAATTTCAACGCGAATATCTAATTGTAGATGTAATGTATAGCAAACTGACTTGTTTGGAATGCCATTTTTCTTTCAAAGATTCCATTGGAATTCAAAATTAAAAGATGGGCTTCTGTGAGATTACGTATCAATTCACAAGGAATAGAAGCCAGAGACTTCTAAGAGAAAATCTTGTGCATTTTAGTCACCACACAAAAAGCTTTTGACACTTCAGGTCTCTTTCTAAGGATCCCTCTCCTTTTGAGAAAAGAAAATCACTTTTTTCCAGTCATTTAAGGAAATTTTAGCCTTTAACACTTATCTTTAATTCTTTGTGACTTCCAATTTTCTCCAAGCAAGAAAGCTGTTAATTTATTTTTAATAAAGAGAGAGGTCAGTGACACCCAACTGTAGAAAGTTATGTCCATGAAAGGTGACAAGAACATACAGAAAGTCTCAAATCCCTGAAATTTGAAGGGTGCTTGTACTTTATTATCATTATAATGTCTCTTAAAATACATTTTTCCTCAGTGAAAATATAAAATGGTTAATTTACAAAACAGTCAACTTTCATAATCTCAGAACAAGTGCATATAATGTGCTTAATTGCCTTTTTAAAATTTGCTGAGATGTGTCTGAACTATGCGTTTGTGTATACATAGACATAAGAATAGTTTTCATTTCATTTTTAACCACAAGACATGTATTTTGAATATGCAAATCTTGAATCTATTAAATCTTTACAGACTGATTCTTTCCAAGTCAGAGCATATGTATTCAGGATAATGCCAAACATCAGAGAAAGCTGGAACAAAGCAGCCTGTTTTCAGTGATCAAACATTGCCCCTGAAGGCTGTAATGAAAGAGCCGTGTGCCTTTGAAATCACCTTTTCTGTAATGCTACTTTGCTCAATAAAAATGACACATTAATATCCTTTTATGAGCCCATCCCTTATTTGACAATCCATATAAGCAATGCTGTGATCACTTCGAAAAAGCCAAAACAATTGGTTCCATAGATTTTCTTCCATTTCCTCTACAAAGTTAAAAATGTGTGACAGTCAGGGAAGAGAAAACTCACATCATTTGAAGGCTTTTTTCACTTTACTCAACAGGTACTCATGCCCTTCACTCCCAATACCCCCATTCCAGCCACTTATCCTCTCATCAGCCTGTCAAAGTTCAACCAATCCTAAAGATTCAACTCATATTAATTGTCTTCTTCAAAGCCTTTCTTTATTCCACATCTAAGTAAGATTTCTTTCCTCTGTGCTCTAACAGTACTCTGCATGTATATAGCCCTTATATGATTATTATCCCATCCTGCTATTAGGATATTATTTTCTGACCATTAATATTATGAATATCTTAGAATTTATTGAGTCCCTAGAGATGAAACATCACCTTAACCATATTTATATACTTCTTCACATACACACAGCTAATACAGTTTTTGTCAACTAGTAGGTACTTAATGAATGTTAAATTATAACTTAGCTTTACTGTAAAATGACAATAAATTATTGTGAATATAGTACAAGTCCTTCTACATCAGCAGTTTAAAGCATGGTCAGCACAAGGCTTTGGCATGGGTTATATCATCATTTGGTATGTCCAGTATGAAATGCACAAGCATATGTGAGATTAGCTGGCCACCTTGTGAACTCCCTCGGCAATGAACATTAAGAGCAGGTAATTCTATAATATGAATTTCTGACACTTTTCCATTATGTTTACCATTTTTATGTTGCTAGACTTGAGGGTGAGGCTCATAAAATGATCTGAGAAAGGTTTGGAGGAGTTAGGAATTTACTCTGTAAAGGATTAATATTGTAAGACAGTGTATAGAGAAACACATCTATACAACAGAAACAGACTCACATACATAGTAAACAATCTTATGGTTACTGGGGAAAGGGGGTGGGAATGGATAAATTTGGGAGTTTGAGATTTGCAAATGTTAGCCACTATATAAAAAGATAGATTAAAAAAACTAGTTTCTTCTGTCTAGCACAGGAAACTATATTCAATACCTTGCAATAATCTTTAATGAAAAAGAATATGAAAACAAATATATGTATGTATATGTATATACAGGACATTGTCATGTATACTGGAAATTAACACATTATAATTGACTGTACTTCAAAAAAAATAAAAGAACCATATCAGATTGAGCTTGCTGTTCCTCATAAACAGTTGTGATTATTTATTAATGTTGTTGTTGTTGTTACTAT